ATAAATAAATAAATAAATAAATAAATAAATAAATAAATAAATAAATAAATAAATAAATAAATAAATAAATAAATAAATAAATAAATGCGGGCTATAGAATATCTAACATTCGTAAGAGTCGCCGGAATTCTAGTTTGACGAAGCCATCTTCGCTGCAATGCAATTCGAAAAGGGTCAGTTTTATTCTTTTCTTTTACAACCCTTTTATTGGCGGTACAACAAATGTGAACAGTTTCAGACAAGTGAAATGAAAACTCCCCATCAATGTTGCCGACTCTTTCTTAAGCAAGTGTCCCCTTAGCGGCTAAAAGGTTCCTTTTAATTGTACCAATAAGAAAGACAGGCCCATAGAATCGGATTGGGGTTTTACACGCCTAATTAGACAATACATTACCATTTAGTTTTGCGGCTCTCTCTCTCTCTCTCCCTCTCTCTCTCTCTCTTCCACAAAAGAAGACAAAGTTTCCAGGGCGCAAAAGCGGAGTGAACGGGGAACAGACACGACAGGAGACGCATGTATAATTCCACAACAGCGCACAATACGATATACTTTGGAAATTAGCATAAGTAGGTAATTGGATAACTAGCGAACAAAAGCGTATTTGTGTAAAATGTAATGGCATTAGTTCAATGAAGGGTGATTCCAGAACGATGTCGCCATTTAAACGCTGTAGCGTCTGTGGGTGGATATCTGCCGGGGCCAGCGTCTGTGAAGAGATTTGTCGGCAAAACCCCCACTGTTCTGAATACGGCCGAGGCGTCGCGTGGTGGTCACCCAGTGGTATCGTGAGAATACGAGCCACTGCCACTTAGAATCACGGCCCGTGGAATTTACGGTCGTAAGTTTTCGTTTAAGCACACGATCGCAACAAGAAGAGGCCAACGCTAGAGAATGGCCGATACATGTGAGGGGGGGGGGTCACGATGTTCGCTCTGGAGCCAAAGAAACTTTCACTGGGGCAGGCTGGGAGATTAAAACCACTGATACGAGAATTGGCGACTCTTCGTCTTAGCGTGCCATTTGTTAATGCACTCTGGCTGCCGGGCGCTGCTAACTTGTTTCTTACCTATCCGACTCTAAAACACCTTTAATGGCATTTAAATTGGTCTAAATGGGGTCTGAGCTTTACATGCTAGGTGTGTGGGCAAACATGTAGCGTTGTCTTGGACACCACTATTAAAGTTGCGACCATGGACGACAGCAGCGATTATTACTGCGGTTACCAGTGCATAAGTAGTTATACAGTTCGAGTCAAGTCACGTATAGGAGGAAGTGGCGTAATGTTTTGCATATTTATCAGGTGATATCAATTCCGCTGCTCCTGCTACTGCTGCCGCACCCCAGGTAAACATTCAGTTGCCAGGTGTCTGCATGCTTCGAATACTTTCACAATTAAATTAAACCCTCGCTATTTCCGACCGCTTTCGGAAGTCTGTAAGTTCTGACAGCGGGCCATTGTTGGCCTGAGATGGACTTTGGAATTTGATTTTGGTTGTGGGTCGCAGTAAAAATGAAAAGAATTATGAAGAATAGTAACAACGGCTTAGTAGGATAACAACTTTGTTGAATGCAGAATTGTGAGTGTCCATTCCAGTCAGGTTACTTGAAGGAAGACAGAAATAACTAGAATCGAATTAAAACAATCGTAACAACAGTGAAACAAGAAGAAAACAAGAAGACGACCCTGTGATCTAAAAAAAAAAAAAAAAAAAAAAAGAAAAGAAAAGAAAAGAAATTTTGACATTGAAGTAATCGAAAAGGTTAGTTTTGTCTCCATTTTCATTGTCGAATGAGGCGTACCCCTTTTGTCTGATTGTCTCCACGAATTTATGATTCGGGCCGTAATTACGGTAGTAGAAAAAAAAAAACTTGCGTCCGAGTTAACTTGAATTAATTAGCGAGTACCTCGGGCTATACATGATTTACCTCATAAAAAAACACGAAGAAATGTGAATCATGCACATTCGATGTGGAATATCCAAGGCCTAGCCCCTTTCAGTAACGCAACACCTAATTGTATTTACGCAACCTTGGTACGCGCACTACAATTTCAATGCTATGCGATCGTGGTAATTTCTGAGCCCACAGAATTCGTTCGTGGGACGCCGAGTTCGATCGGCGCAACAGGAGGAATGAAACACCGCGGGCAGATATTGGTCTAACATCGAGATTTGAAACGTCCCTCTTACGTCAGTTCGTGTAACAGTGATGGTGACGCATATATATATATATATTCGTAACACGGTGCAATACATAATCGAGGACTAGATATGTTAAATTGCATAATTTATTTAAATAAGCGACTCACATTAACAGGTGGGCACTAGATGCGACAGAGTGCCGGTGATGGAAACAAACGCGCCAAGGGAACAACTCCCGTTCTTCATCATTGCAAACACGTCCCTCAAAGAATCACGCACAACATTCTAACTTCCTTTCTTTCATACTTTACAAGGCCTATCTCTGACTGTTCATAGTGGGGTTATTTTCATGATTTTTTTAGAAAAGTAGAACGTCAGCCGTTAATTTTAATATTTTAAATCCCATCACCTTTCTAGATATAAATGTTGGGATGTAGATGGACCATTCTAATGTCCATGGTTGAACATAAGCAACTCATTAACTCGCCTTGAGACAGATAGTAGATAATCGTTTTCCTATTTATTTATTGTTTACTTGTTGAAAACGCCTTAGCAATTAGTTGTGGTTAAACACACTCTCGTTGGTACAAAACAAATTTGGTAAATGTAGCTGCTATTCAATTCGTTGTTTTGTAAATCACCCGTGTATGGGGATGATAAATCCCGTCATTTCTAGCGGAACGCGGTGAGATGCGAGTCTACAATTAGCGTTCCACCATTCTGTTTGTTCCCATGATTTGTTGTTCACCGCGATTTGTTAAGAATTAAACCAATTAATGACCAATTTGGTTAATGGCGAATTAGTGTCTACCATCGGCGCACAGTGGACACATTGATGGGCATAATTCGGCTAATTATTGGTAGTTTTATCTGAACGGGTGGAATAATTACATGAAGGGATAAAATGTCTTTCAACAAAGGAACTCAGAAGAATATATATAATCAACGAAAGAAACGTTGCGATATATAGTATTACGGAAAATGAATTGTAAGCCACGGTCGTTGTGTAAGTGCCGTTTACCCCACCGCTGTGAACTGACACTCATGACACACAGCACTGTTCTTTTCTAATTAAAACCACTCTAGAAAAATGTCTAAAACACAAATAAACAAAACTATCGCACCTTCATATCATTATATAAACGAAATCATATAATTAGTGACAGTGTGTCAAATAATAATAAAGAAACATACATTACAATAATGTGTGAAAATTTAGGGTCAGCCTTAAGATACAACCATGACGTACCCAGCGTGCATATCAAGTAAAATCAAGTAAAATAAGTCCTAATTTAACTTTACATTTATTCCCTCATTCTTTCCCACATATGAAAACTTCCCGGAAATTGACACTACGCGCCCCGTGTTTCATTTCTGTTCCCGACTCCCACAAACCTGTAATTAATTTCAGTATTGTGAAATTAACAAGTTGATAAAAAATCCTTTTAACGAACGTTCGTTTAATAAATTCCTTGTGTACTGAGAATTAGTACACGCAGTTAGTGGCACCATACAGTTCTCTCTTGAAGTACCCAACACCCACAGACGAAATGGTTACGTGGCAGGTATTCCAAAAACTACAAGCCAAAACGGTATTATAAATACAATAAAATATAATATAATATTTAGTTTGTTTTTTTATTATTTTACATAAATGTACATAGATTTTCTGAAATGCCTAACAAAAAGTTAGATTCTTGCAAAAACCAAGCACAACAAATGACAACTGTGTCTTATCATCACTTTCCGATAAACCGAGAAAGTGGAAGTGAACTTGGTCAAGAATTCAGAGCAGTATTCTGTGATTCTGACCGTGGCACTCAAGTGCAAATATAACAAAGTTACCATCGCACCACTCGTGGTGTAATTATATTCTAAGCACGCATGGTACTAAGACACGCGGTTGAAGTTGTATTACACCCCCCTCCCGCGCCAATAAAAAATAAAAGCACGTTTTTTTTTTCCAACCGGACAAAAACATCGACGGTTACACTGGACGGTATCTAATGTTTTGTATATTGTTCATAGTTTTCACATTTCCGTGAATTTAGCGTTAGAATTAAAAGTCACTTTCGTAACTGGCATCACTTTGGAAAGATCCCAAGTCACTTATGTCCCCCGTACGATCAGACTCCACGTCTACCGCTAAGAGAAGCATATTCGACATATACGAAGTGTCGGATATTTCGGAGTACTGGTCACATACATCGCTTTCCGCAACAGAAATTGTGCATGACGACGGCTCTTGGTGCAATACGTCGTTGATGCATATTCCCGGCACGGCGACTTCCATCGTTCTCTTCACACCGCCATCGCCGTCGTTATTGGCAGGTTCAATGTTAAGTTTAGGCACATTTATAACACTTTTCGGAGTTCTGTTCACATTTATGTTCCCATAGTGGTTGCCATTCATCATAAACTCTGTACGTTTTTGGCGGTCAAGTCTTCGTGTACGCCTTGGCGACGGCATACCGTGCACCCGGTAATAAACCGATGGAGATTCATCACTGCTGATTCCATCGGCACTACGGTGCCTACTTCCGTTACCATTGGGTAATCGCCGTTGTGAAGTTCGTAACTCTTTGCAGGACACACTTTCCCGTTCTTCATTTTGCCGATAACTCTCTGTTCCAATTCGGAAATTCTCGAAAGCGCTCGCCGTAGCTCGGAGTCTCGCTTGTGCAACAAGTCGGTTAAGACATTACACTACAAAATAAAAAAAAAATGTAGAAACATTGAACTTAATCGAGCGAGCGATTGCAACCACCACAATTCCATCCGTGCTACATTCTCCTTATGAGCCTTACTAAATACGTAACTTATTTTTTAACCGAATTTGACAAATTTCCGAATTAAATTCGTTAATTGTTCAGAAACGGTTTCTCAAATACCGAGTTTTCTAACCTAAAAAATAAATGTAACACATTTTGGTTAAATCACCGAAAGGAGCGATCATTCTTCTGTTGGTGGTTGCATGTATATGTTTGTAAAGTTCACATGACCGTGACAATTAAAATCCCATCCTCTGCATTTCTTGTCATTTTTTTAGTATTTTTTTTATTTATGTAATACTGACCCAAATTTACCTTTGCGATTCAAAATGGGCACACGTGGGGTTGGCTTGTTTATGATACGCACCTTCACTGCACCTAGCCAGATTGGATGAAAGAGTTGGTTGTCGAACAAAATACAATTTCCAGCTCAGGCTGTGTGCACGCTGTTTGGTGCCACGTCACACAGGTAATTCTGACACAGTATTCGGTACAATTACAAAAATAATACAGAAGCATTGTTTGTCTAAAATAGCCCGTATTACTAACTTACTAACTGAACTGTTACTTTCTATATAAACCATTTATATAGAAATTCGACAACATTTATTGCTCGGTGAAGATACCACCGACTATTAAACGTAGTTACCTTTTCTGCAAGTTGTTCGACTTTGTGTTTCGTTGCCTGTTTGAGAAAAATCAAGAGCTAAGTATTTTTTCTTCTCATAAATTGAGACTGATCAATGATGTATTGACAGAACATCACACTTGTTGACACTGCCATCGTTTAGTAACTTTTGAGAACGGGATTTGTATGAACCAACTAACAGTCTGTGTTCTATTTGGTGAATAACATCATGAATTGCTAATAACATTGATAGCGTTCGTAACTTCAGTGCCTTTCTCGTTCTCTGGCATATCCCAGATCACTATTTGTTTATGTCGAAATGGTGAACAGGGGAAAAATAACTACAAAGGGTAAGAGACTCAACTTTTCTATAGTTGACGAAATAAAACCTTGTCATTTCATTTTGTGAAATTTTATAACTTTTTGTTTTTTATTTTATTCTATTTTTTGCCATTATGCCGATTTCACGTCGTTTCGTTAATCCCTCGTACCAATTGTTTGGCAGTTCCCAACCACACATTCAACGATTTGGAATGGACAAACAGTCCTATGAACCTATATCAGAGCAATGAAAACAACATATGCTACTCGCTGTGTCAGTATACATGTAGAATCCCGGCGGGTGTAAAGAAGAATGTACCTTCGGAGAACACGGTTCACATCAAATAAATGTATTGAATTCCTAATGGATTTTATTTACTTGAAGGATATGAAATTATTTTTTTTTATAAACGCCGCCCAATCTCTTCATATGGCTATATGTATATATAACTGACACCCATGTGTAAGTGTTGTATATAGTCTATTTGAAATGAACAATTTTATTGTTTTATACAGCGCGACTGAAATGAACAAATATAATATATTACCTGGCTGTCAAATGTACGAAGTTCATGAATTATGTGTCTTAACTCGCTCATTTCTTTTCCTATCTCCTTGCCTGAGAAAAAAAAACACTCAGTATAGATGTAACGTGAGCAGTAGAGTTAAATATTTGATAGTATTTTTTTAAATGCACCGCTTGTCAATTATATTTATACAAATCATGATCACGATAAGTATTTTTTGCAGTGGAAATGTGTTAACTAGACAAGAAAATATGAGCATACCTCGCTCTTGGATCGTTGTTTTCTGTCCATGTGTTGTGACCTCCGTCTTACTTTGCGCCGTGTCCTGGTGAGCAGTGTCTTTTCTCTCATCCTGCGATTTGAGGTAGCCAGGAATCTGGAGCAACGCTTCAGATTTTCGCCTCTGTAGCCTATACAAAAACAAAACAAACACAAAAAATAGATATGGCTATAGGGTGGCGTGCAACGCTGCTTATACAACTATGTCGTTCTTCTCCCGGTTACCCACCCGAGAAAACTCATACATTAAAACAGTACCAACACCTGCCAACCGAACAACCAACCAACCAACCAACCCAACCGGCAGATGACTTTTATTTTAATTATGTCTTTGATTCGTTAGGATATATACATATAACATGGCAAAATATAACAAGAAATGAAGGATGATCAACGATACGACCGAGTGACAACGTTGCCATGGCAACTCCATCGTTTGGGGAACTTTAATAAAATAAAATGACAACAGGTGCCGTCTTATTTTCGTATTCTCAAATGTGTAATGTATGTTGATGCCCGTGGCAAAGGCGTGTATACAGTCAGCCATCTTCTCGTCATTATATGAAGCAAAAATGTATCAAAATTTACGACGATGCTGTTTAAATTGCGGCGAACAGGTCGTCCACACATACACACCAACACACTAGTACACAACCGCAAATATGAGAACCGCCTCTCGTCGCCTACAAAAGTAGCATAGTTTCATTTCGCAACAGAAGGCAGATTTTGTTTCTGATCCCATTTTCGACTAATGTGTTAATCGTCAAGTAAGTTCAGTATTTACTAAGTTAGATATCTAGCGGTAAGTAATAGATCGCGTTGTCTCTCATTCACTTACCTTGCGGCTTCCTTATTTTTCTCCATTCTGTCGCGTCCATGTTTTTCTAGGACTTTTTTAGCATCTGGATATTCGACCAGCGCCTGTCAAATAAGGGCAGACCAGAAAGCAAAAAAGAAGTGTGGATTTGTAAAAAAAAAAGTATAAAGACGTCTGTTCAAAGTTTTAGAAAAAAGGCTTTGGTACATTGCCGTTGGCGTACTGGCGTTCTCACCGATATCAAATGGCGACCGCAGATATATGTAAACGACGTGACAGGGTCACGGAGTACGTGGTATTTGGGTTTAATTATTCTGTTTCATACAGTAAATACAAACTAGGCGTAAAACGGTTTAACAATGATAACAATAATAATGATAATAATAAAATTAATAATAATAACGCTTCCATCGTCACGATAGCTTTCGACGTGTTTCAGCTTTACTGGTACCTTCTATATTTAAAAGAGTTGCGTACTGGCGGCAAAGCGTTATCTGCTTAGTCGTGTTTACACGAACCATTAATTAAAAATTTACGCCAAAATATTATTTATTTAAGGAAGATTGTGAATACCGTTGGAATGTACACACCACGCCAGTACCGTGACTCACTTCCAGGTTCTTATCATTTATAGTGGAAGATATTCGCCTTTTTGTTGTAAGCGCAACAGGTGGCCAATTGAGAATTGAAGTGATATCCCGGATTTTGCGTTCGCCAGTTACGGTTATTTTCGGTGATATCTATTTGTATGGTTCGTTTTATTAAGTTTTCGTTTATTTTGTAATATTTTATTTTTCAGATATTTTGGTATTCGCACACGCATTCCACGCCCGTGCGACAATCGTTGTAGGTCAACATTTTAATCATTTCCCCGGTAACTTGTTTTCACATATAACCTTGTTTTCATCTAGTGGTGACTGGAGTTGCACACGTGTCGTGGTTGAAACCACGGTCAGCGGTAGGGGGGGGGGGTGTTGGTAAAAAATCACTGTTGCCGCAGGATCACTTGTTCATCATAATCATATTTTTTATGGAACAATTTAAACAAATTAGCATCTTACCGAGTCCGTAATTACAACATATGGAAGATTGAGTAAAAACGAAGTTTGTCCGCATCGCGAACAAATGCAACAGAATTTAACTTTGAAACGTATGACTAACGATGTTCAAAGTATATTACCGTTGTTACATTTCGCGAGTAATTTGTAGGGAGTTGAGGACGGCGTCTCGGGAAGGTTTCTCTCACGGGAAATGTACAGAAAACGAACCACTATGCCCGGCTATGATGGAACTTTAAATATCGTGCAGCGTACTATCTACACTATTGATCAATACACGTTTCAAAAAACAAATCTCGATTGTTTTGATGATGGAGGAAACCAACACACCGTTTTTGGTGAAGGTCATTTATCCTACGAAGATACCAGCCTGAGACACAGACGAAAATTACTTTTATTAGCTTGCCCAATTCGAATATAATTTGAGCCTTAGTTAAAATAAATTACTGATAAATCCGACATGTTTTCGTTATTGCAGGTAATTCGTTTATTAGCGATTGGTAATTTGTAGGATCCACACGGTATTTGAAATAAAAATGAATCGTGATTGGAAGAATATAACTTCAACATTAAATATATTACACAGTCTTGCTCATTAATTCCTTGAACATGTACGATATCAATTTGCCTTTTCCGCTGTTATCATGTTTATTTCATTTTCATCTTTTGGGTTAAAATAGACTAGAAATACAATTCTGCAGTGTCGCTGGTCAGATTGGAAACATAATTATCTAATTAGCAACTATAAAAATATGTTTCGCACCGAGTCACCGGTGTAATACACGTATTTAGAATGCAAATACTTGGTTTATTTGCATATCAATTGGTTATTTAACATAAATAACACAAACATACCTTTTGACGCAACATAAATTATGATTATAATGAAAATCATTTTTTGTTACAATAAACTAGGAAGTATAATCTATGTTTGTTTCTTTTATTTTCCCAGACTATCTTCCAAAATGATAGGTGAGATGTCGAGGGGCAGATATGCCGATTTACTGGGACCTGCTCTCAACTGTCGCCGTCACACGACACTGGCACACCACATTATTACCTGCATCAAGTCCTTCTTAGAAAGGCACAACAACTCCGAATATCCTAGGGACACCACGTCGGCAGTCCGTCTGTTCTGTCCTTCATCGAGCTTAAGTAAGCTGATCTCGCCAAAGTAGTTTCCTTCAGAGAGAGTCGCCACCACCATTTTCATCCCCGTCTGTGGGTCTTGCACAACAACCTGCCGAGATGTTCACATTTTATTTATTTTTATACTTTAATCTCTTTGTTTTTTTGTTTAATAATATATCTTTGAGAAGAATTAATTTACCTTCGATAATAAATCTCGATTTAAAAACAAAAAAAAAAAACAATGATGCCGTGTCATAGATTTTTAGTTTACTGTCAGCGAGGAGTCAAAGCAAGGTTACCTACTCAGACGACGTGTATTTTATTGTCTTCTTTCGCATAGGATAAAAGCAACAACTTTATGTCGTCCACATTCTTCACTTTAATACTCTCTTTTTTCATTGTTTTAATTCTGTTTGTAATCAAATACTGTAACAGTTCTTAGCAGCTGCGCCCGATATAGATGAAAAGATGGATAAATTATAGAAAACCACGATGCACCGCCTTGGGTGAAAATCGACTATACTCGCCACAGTACAACATCTCGGTAATTTAGAAAGCATGTTGATGCAATATTGTGGTTTGGATAGCATGGCGAGACACGCTCCTTTCTCCAGTGTCTCCGTTTGAACCTGTGTTCACACCCCTTCAGGGTCAGTCTTAATCACAAGGGAGGCCACGACACGTGTCAGATAAACAGATATTTCGAACGAACGAGGTTATAGTACTCCGATTTGCACGGATTTCAAATATGAGAAAGTGATCTCAAAACAGATGGCGCTGGAGATTTACATCTACACTCTACATGGTATGCAGGCCAACAGTGCTACTTTGCCGTATCGCATGTGGGTGGGCTTGCTGCAGCCAGGTTAAAATACAACGCAGCAAATTTGGCGTGGGGTTGGCGCTGAATAACAAAAATCATTGCATCGAATGCGTGTGTCCGCCATCTCAATATCTACATTGATTTATATAAATGCAAATATGAGATCAATAATTTTACACGGACCGCGGACGTAATGCATGATACCGCGGCGAGCGATGTGTTTACGTAATTGAATGATTAATATACCCACCTGCACTTTCCCGTGGTTTATGATGTACATTTCACGTCCTATCTCACCACTTCTACAGATGTAATCGCCCGGTGAGTATATCTGAGAGCGCAGTTTCAGTACAAGTTCACAGAGGAGACCCTGCTCACAGTCTTCGAAGATTCTCACCTATGCAGAAAAATTCAAATTTAAAAGCGATCCAGGAGCATTCAGGTGCATCAAATATATACATATGTAGATATATATATATATATATATATATATTGTAGTATACATGTTTATTGAGGGCAAAGTAATATAAAAACTGGTGTATAATATAATATAATATAATATAATATAATATAATATAATATAATATAATATAATATAATATAATATAATATAATATAATATAATATAATATAATATAATATATGTTATTACGGATTTATGCTTCGTGAAGATCGGCCAAATATTTTTCCAAACAACAACAACAACAACAACAACAACAACAACAACAACAACAATAATAATAATAATAATAATAATAATTGATACGCTCCCTATAGTAGTATTACCATGAAAACGAAAATTTCATGAGTTTTCTCCAAAAATACCACATTGTTATTGATGTCTGCTCCGTTTAAAGGGGCCGAAAACAAAGAAAACTACAAAATCGAATCGCCGGTAGGACACGTTACTTCAAAATAAAAACTTTAGCTGACAAACACGAACGCGAAGCATACCGTGTTAATTCGACGGGACGGTAGGCTTCCCGTCGATTTCTAACGAGTACGGTGTTTGTTATCCCCCCTCTCCCGACAACACACCGCTGTAAGATATTCGCCGACAACTGTCTACTACTTTTCGAGGTAATCTCAGCCCCGCCACACTATAAAGGTCATTGTTGAGTAAATCGGCTTACCTTTTTTAAGGTCTCCAAATGCACGTGTATGGCGATTTCAGCCCTTAGGCGGTGGGGTAACATTTCCAGAAAATGCTGATCGTCCAAGGCTTGGGTTCTGTAAACAAAACAAAAATTACGCATGGCTGGTAGTTGTATCATGGGAGAGGGCGTACAGCAATATGGAGTATGGTATCGTGTTGCCAAACAATCTGTCGTAACGTGTCGCCCGAAACCTACAGAGGACTTAAACTGGAACTCAATATTTGCAAATTTTATCTCACAATATGGTGATTGGATTCAGTTAATAGTCCGTGACTTTATTGAGAAGTTCACTAAACTTATAATTCAATTTGTGACGATACCATAAAAACACAAACAAAATGACCATAACAGAAATAGAAAAAAGACATTGAATTCGAGTAAGTTATTCACTGACTTCATACAAAAAATGCCAAATTTCTTTCTTTTTTTGCTAGAAACTAAAAAAAACGCAGACTAGAATTATGAACAGTAATTTTCATAGTTGTTCAAATAAACGCCCAGTGTATTGCGTGACCGCTTCATATTGTCGCGTTGAATCCCTGTCGAATCCGATGAACAGAACTGGTTTGGAAAACCGTAATTCATCATATCGTTAGTGTTATTACTTCTATTCTGCAAGACTTGGCCGAGTTATTTCCGCTCTTGTTGAAAACACAATCGAAATATTCTCATCACGCTATATACATAACCATTTACCTGTGCCATGCGTACTCTGACCATTTCTTAACACGGCTTTGTAAACAGCTCGGTACCTGACGATGATTCATGTAAAATTTAATAGCATCCATTCTGTGAATAACAAAACAAAAAAAAGGACTGAAAACAAATATTAATTATTTCAAAAAAGAAAAAAAAATGTGTTTTTATGTCGGGAGCCAAAGCTTGACCTTGCTAGTTTTGTCTTTTGATGGACTGAAAATTCACTGAGTTGCTTTGTAACTTTGCGTTACTGATGAGCGACTAAAGTTTGCAACTTCAAAACCTATTTTAAATGCGTCTTATTCAGTAGTTCACATTAATGGATTCAATGTGAACTTGCATAGTCTATTGTTTTGTATGTCAAGTTATTCAGTAGTAGTAAAGAGACATGGCGGATGAACGCGACACCACTTCAATATGTCACGTAGTGGAAACACTTTGAGAATTCAACTGTGATTCAGGATTGGAGATTCAACGTGTTAAACTCCAAACGACGTAAAAAACAATACAAAAAAACAATTTAGACGACTTGAACTAACTAGCTAATCTTAATACGATTGATTGCAATAAAAATAATTTATATGAAACTTGAGAAAGCCACATCACTGAGTGCAATTAATTTACAACCCCATTTCTGCACTGTATTACATTAACTGATTCACGCTCTCGGGGGGTTTCGTCGAAAAGCGGTCGATGCGCATGTTAGGCTCGTACCTACTGTGCAATAGTTTACATTTACACATGACGGACATTCAGGGCATTGGTCTTTGCAGTTGGTGGTCTGGTGAGGGGAGAGTGGGGGGGGGGTGTTCCACAATCTCGAGTTGACATGCAAATCACATCTCCGTCGTATGGCTGAATGCCCCCGCCCAAACAACGTTTAACTGAACGAAAATCGATGTGTTACTAATGAGAAAATGTTTTTCTCTATGTTTGCAGTTTTTAACATAGTTATGACAATTCAAAGCAGCATATGCCGTTCCCCCTCCCATTGTTTAGCAGTTTTCTGAATCTAAGTAACACCGCGGCCACCAATCCAACATTAGTCATGGCTAAGCGTACTTGAAACGCACGGAGTACAATTGATATACAGGTAACATGCAATCTAGACAGCTGGAATATCAAGTCTTGTCAGAACAATAGTTCACTTCTAGTAATAGGTCATGTGACCTGACGTAATCGCGTGTATATTCCATTTGATGCCACAACATTCTTTTGTTCACGTGACAGAAAACCACAGCCCACGTCCTCTTTAATACAAATTAGCGCAAGAACTACTAACTTTGCTTGGAATTCCTGTCTGGCAGCATTCATATTGCTTATGACGTCACCGACGTTACCGACGACAGCGGCAAACAAGAAGACGCCAATGAGGAAAGTGATCCCGGTGAAAACATACTCCTGAGAAGCGAAACAACAAACAATTACACATGCCATTGTTAAAAGACAATGATTCGGTTTTGACTAGAACTTGTATTGCGCAACAACAGTAGAATAATTTACTTCGATTCAGCTCCGTTCGTGTATCTTCAAGTTGCTTTACGAAATTACATTTTCTGAAAAACACCTTTGTTTTCTGAGTTTTATCAACATTAACATTATTCAAGTAAAAATTCTAAATCAACAACAATCGTTGCTGATGTCCCCGAAGTGCGCCGTCTACAAGCATATTGTATCAATTATATTGTATAAAATCATCATTTGCATAATGTTTCAATAACCAACTCGAACCTATTTAAGTGTTGGACGAGTGCGCCCTCGCAGGTGAAATTGGACATTTTACCCCCTTATGTTTATATTCGGGTTAGATCCTTTTTGCTAAATAACACTACATACAAAGCTCCATTACATACGTACTCACAATGTTGGTCAAGGGACCGTGTGTTCCTCCGATTGTTGTCAAGGTAACAGCTGACCAATAGAGTGACCGGATATACTTGCTGTGACAAGGTGAGGAGAAAAGGGAGAGAACACACATGTATTTAAAAGAAGGATAAACTTACGATATCGGTTTGGGGCACTGCTGTCTCCCCTATGGTTGTCAGTGTCATTGTAGACCAATAGAAGCAGAGTATGTACTTCCTGTGTGCGAAGAGTAGTAAAAGAAATAACTAACTGAAACAGCGCCACCATCCGTTTAATAAAAACAAAAGAATGTGCAATTATAGACCACAGAGGGACTCGCATAAGGCGTTACACCGTGTTTCAAATGCTTACGGTTAAGGTACTGCGGCGTTGGATTTTACCCGTATTTTACAGGGTGTAATCTACATTTACCTTAAAAGTTTTCGATCCTCTGGGGTGTCCGGGTAGACCCATTCGTTTGTGCCGAATCCTTCAGCCTGATAAGAAAAAAATAACGGGAAAAAATATGGCAAACTTTGACATTCATCAGTGTGTATGCACTTCCCCGCGTCAGAGAGGTCACGCTGAATGCAAGGTGCTTACGGTCTCGTGAAACAGAAGCACTGAGAAAATGTCTTCTTGAGAGTAATAAAAATAAACCGAAACTTAAGCGCACTCCAGAGACGAAGTGCTACCTATGATCTGTTGATCTATTCTAAAATGATGGAGAACGACTGACCGACACAATCAAGGCTGTCAATGCGAACTCTGAACTTTGGCGTCACCCATCCCACGTGGATGGGTGACGTCACATCGCCGTGCTCATGTTTGGAAAAGTGTGGTGTTATCTTGCTTGGACAGAAACTCACCTCGGATAGCATGTAATAAAAACAACCGATCCAATGAATGACCACAGCTAGGTAGAGGGATAGCTTCAAGGCACGGAGACGGTTTGGATTGCTTGTACGACTGTAAAATCACAGGATCGGATATTGTGTTATTA